GATTATCATTTAGATAATATTGTCGATTTTCGGTCTAGGAAAAGTTTAAAATGCCAAAGATAAGGTGTGCGGCGGATATGAAAAAAATTAATTCGATTAAACGGTGTATCTGATATACGTGGATGTATTATCAATTTTACTAATTCAAGCAAAGTTCAAGGTGACGTGGGACTACGAGGACTTGTTAACCAAATACGCTCGTCCTTTGATAAGATTACGGGAGCACGAGAGACACTCTCGCATCTGTACCATATTATATTTTTTTTTTTCACATCTAGTATAAGAGGCTATCAATAGGTGAAACTGACTTATCTGAACCTGTACCGCGAATTTCCCACGATTTTGATGGTGTGCACGTAACTATACAGTTGCATGAAACGATTAGACCGATAGATTCGGGCCCATACAAGTTGTATCAATGTTTGATTATTATGCGACAACGAGGCCGTGCCACTAATCGGCATTGCGATCGATTTCAACAAAGTCTCATCCCGACCTTGTTGTCAGCAAATTGCATATACTTACATGCTCTCTCAAGTATTATCGACTCAAGGTAAACACAGCATGGATTGTTGACATGGCTTCGGTGCCTTTTTTTCTTTCTTTTTATTTTTTTTTTTTTTCGTCTCTCTTTCTTCTTTGCGTGGCATCCATGGCATCCCTTGCCAAAACGTCAAGTACTTGTGCTCGTTGAGACATAAAAAACAGCCATACCATTGGTGCTTGTTTCGATAAATTGCTTAGTGAATTCGTCCTTAAATTTACAGGTAGTTAAACAATTACGATGCTTAATGCGTGTTTTAAGCTGTTATTTTCGTCGATGGCGTAAACGCGTGGTTAAATAAAATAAAATAAAATAAAATAATAATAATTCGGTTAAAAATTTTATTGAGGTACTAGAAAAGTACTTTATATTTTTTAGAGATATGGAGAGTTAAGAGACTTGCTGGGATACAGAGGATATTACTTTTTTTACTCGCTGATTTCTTTTTTTTTTTTTTTTTTTTAACTATCATTTGATAATTTTGCACGTGCTACGCACTCGTGTGCTCAACTGGCACTCGTTCCCGTCAACTCCAGCCACTCGTGCGAGCCAATCACGACTCGTACGAGAAATCGTCTTTTCCACACTTGTTACATAAATAACTATTCCAACTCGGGCACAAACGTTCACCCACTGTTCCTTTTGGTTGCGTTAGCCGTAGTTTACGATAAGGGTACGAAACTTCGTATGTTATAAATTTAACTTTTAATCCTAGATGATTAATAACGGTTTACTTACCCGGGCAGGTAGATGATCTGCACGAAGAACATGAGCAGATAAAGGAGGGCGGAAGTAAAAACGTACCAAGGGTATTGTTCGTCCTTTTGCTCACGGTAGCGGCTCTCCTGTACAGAATCCTCAAACCAATAGGTCAAGCTTGATATGCCTTCCCGACTACCACACCAATGTCTGAAAAATTACATTTTGATATTTTATTCAGAGTGTTGATATTGTACGACTTTTATTAATTTAAATTGACAAGGGTAAACAACACATCTCATCACATTATTTTTTATTTTTTTTTTTTACTTGACGTGTTTAATATGAATAAATATTCATTGTTATCATACTCTCTTGTAACCATATATTGTGTACGAAAAATTTTATAAAAAAATGTTGTTGGTTTTAAAAAGATTTAACCTGAGATACAAATACATATGGTGAATTGCCTAGAAATGGAGATTGTAAGATAGTTATAGAGAGATATTTTACTTCAGTTGAATTGAGTCTCTAATGTAAAAAGTGGAAAATGTAATATCACATTTTCAGTGAATGAGATATACTTGACTTGGAACCACGATGACAGTGATACTAACAAAGAGTGAGGCATATTACGAGAAAGTTAGATGTTAATTCGATTGAGATACTTGGGCTACATGTAAAGTTCCTGATAAAAAGTCGTTAATACTATAAAACATCAACTATAAGTAGAACTGTTATAAATATATATTTACAGTACCAGAGAAGTTTCTTGGGGTGTACTCGGAAATGATGTTTTGGTCAGCTCTTAGGTTGGTATCTACTCCTACCTCTACTTAACTAACCGAGCGTGTGCTCAGGCACTGTAAACACCATTTACTCAATCAACTGATTTTGGGGCAAGTTTTGGACGCAGACGATGTAGTACAGAAAATATTCAATTTCATTATTTATTTTAAGGTAGTGTTTTATTAAACAGATAATACGAGTACGACTTCACTTCTACAGTAGAAGTTCTACTCCAAAACTGGCTCCAAAATCAGCTGATTGAGTAAACGGTGTTTACAGTGCCTGAACACACGCTCGGTTAGTTAAGTAGAGGTAGAAGTAGATACCAACCTAAGAGCTGACCAAAACATCATTTCCGAATACACCCTTGGACACAGATACACAAGAATAGAAAGTTAGGTACTTAATAAAAGGTAAATACAGATATAGCTATACGTGGAATGGAAAAACCTGTAAGAATACAATTGTACACTACAATGCATAGGGGATATAAAATTATACTCAGTGACTCAAAAATATGGTTATGACAATATAATGAAAGATAAATTAAAGACCATGTTAAGAATGTTAGTATACAGGAACAAACAGTTTCAAACAAAAACTTAATGACCGAGTCATACATTAAATTTAGCTATAGAACCTCGAGTCATAAGCCGAAAACATAACCAGATAGAGATAAAGTTATTGGGGTCAAGAAACAAAGATAAACAAATTAAATGAGATAGGCAAAAGCTTGGGTTCATGATTTATTGACGGTCCGTGCATTAGCACACGATCAGTAAGAGCTAATCAAGAAATTAGAATAAAAACTCCAAAAATGTCAGATGTTTGTTGAGCAACGTATCGTTGGTCTTAAGATGCTAACCTCATCAGGCTCAGTCTATATCGCTATGACGATCGTTACAAACTCAGAGTCTTTAACACTTACCGTCAATAAATCATGGAAACCACAGAGAGCAGAACTGCATGTTTAACAACCAAGATAAAAGCTTGAGTTGTTTTAAACTCTGTCAAATGGAAGTTTTAAAGCAACTCTATCAGTCGCCACGCATAATTTGTTAAATTGTATACTTACTATGTTAGTATACTTACTTTACGTCGAAACATGAGGCGTTATTCGTTAACAAATTGGATTCGATCATTGCTATACTCTGCAAGAACATCCATTATGTAGTTTATCTTCCTTGGTAAAAAACTTTGTATCAGTAAAAAAATTTTCCTACAAAATTAATGAGTTTGATCTCTATAGCTTTTGATGTATATCTACGTATGTAAACTAAAGTTTAAACACTTTCAACTTGTATAGAATGAGACAAACATAAGGGCACATTTAAATGTTATGAATATTGAAAGGATAAACGTTGACGTTTAGAAAAATTCAAATTTTGAAAAACAGATTTATTAACCAGTCTAGTTCTCCGAGGCCACTAAATTGGCCATCTAGAGACAAAAACTTTTTTAATCAACAAACCAATACATACAAAATACTGCCTAATAGAAAATATAAGAAATTTTACTTGGAATTTGTACATTTCATCATTTTTTTTTTCAAGATACAAAATAAAAAGTAAATATCCTGCGGCTTCAAACCAATAATTTGTAAAACTTAATCTATCAGAATTATAGTAATTACAGTCGATATAATTGAATTTAATAAAAATTAAGTTTCGTTAATGGCTAAATTTTTCAATAGAGACCAAAAAAATTTCCAAGGAAGTTTCTCATATAGAATATATTTTTTTAGTTTCGAATATTTTTTTTACAAATTATACGTAATACTAGATTTGTATTGCACAGATATTTCAAGTTCCGATTGTTATTCTTGTTATCCAAACTATGTATGCAATAAATGTTTAATAATATTTCACACAACGATTAATACATATTATTTTACGGTTAATAGCAGTTGTGCAATGTAAGGAGGCTCATACCTTATTCTTTAGACTTAAAAAAATAAAAATCTGTTGGAAATTTTAAATAATTCTGTTTTTTTTTTACTGTTTGGATGTGTCATTTTTTATAAATAATATGTGTATGAGTTGTACGAACTTTTATATAGTGATATTGAGTAAAAAACTTTATATAATCAATCTCGTAAAAATGTGTCGTGTCGCACGGACATAACGTATCACTGGGAAAAAGTTGGGTAAACCAACTTCTCAACTTTGCTGTGAACAGCGCCAGATATATTTATCGAAATATGTTCATGAAAATTCGTAAACTATTGTAAAAACTTTTCATCATTACTTACTGTAAGGCCTATATTTTTTGCCAGCGTCGTCTCCGTAATATTAGCAAAGGGCTTGCCTGCACCCCAGCACTCTACATACTTGGTCATTTTACTGCTCGGTCTGGATCTGTAATACATTAAATTGCATTTAATGCTATTTCTTTAGACCTGACTCGCCACTTGAATTTTTCGTGTAAAAATTACAAAATGGCATTAATTTAATCAACTTTAAAACCAAATAGAATCATCCAAGTAAAATCATAAAAAGTGCTAAACTTCGAACAAAGATGTAATATAAATAAATTCAGTTAAAAAGTCCGTCTAACAAAGCTTCAACTCTACGTAAAAGCTTGCACGCTTTTAAACAAAAATCACCTTAAAGAGCTTCACAACTTTAACTTTTCACTTCCTTATCATTCGGTAAATAAAAAAAAAAAATATAGTGTGTAGACCCGAGAAGCAAAAACAGCTTCTCCGCAGATCTTGCCACAACGTGTACTTAGTGTAGAACGCTTTCGTACCAGTGATAAAGGATAAAAACTTAGTTTTACCTCGAGGGTATGTGTTCCGGACGCTGCAGTGCCTTGACGTTCCCCGGCCCGCTTTCCTCTTTGCTTTTCTGCGCAAAAGAAAAAAAGTAAAATTATTAGCAACATATATCTGCAAGAGACGTATAATATCATTTAAGATCATTAGCTAAAATAAACTTGTTTTAATGTGAACCCAGAAAATAGATGTTATTTTATTAATATCGTACATTTTCCTTTGATCTGTGCGTTATACTATAAGTATGTTCTTATCATTCTCGAGTAAATGATTTCATTGAAGAAAATGGTATATGTCCCACGCATATATGAATACACGTACCTTTGGAGGAATGATGAGAAAAGTTTCAACGCTATGCTCGGACAGGTAAGCATCTCGCGAACCTCCGTTTCCGGGCTCCACTTCAAAGCGATTGCCCAGTTGCAGTAATGTCGCCTTTGTCACATGAACCCGCCTGTAATTTTATAATCAGCCACGATTGCATTATAATAACTTATTTTGTTTTCCTAAAAATTAAAGAAGTTTATTTTCTGTAAAATAAGAACCATTTTAACTTCACGTCTTTCGAATATTCTTCTATTCTTAATTTATTAAAAACCCTTAAATACCATAAGTGTGAGATTTTCGAGATTTGAAAAAAGATTTAGGAAAATTTCGGGAAGAAATCAGAATATTCTAAAGTCATTTTTATTTTTATAATTTTGTGTTTTATTATTTTCAATCTTTCAAAAAGTTTGTCTGCTAAATTATTTTGCAACTGTAGATAAGCCGTGATGAGCCAATAAGTTAAATTGACATAACTTGATCTGTATTCTACATTGACAATGTTCGACGGAAAAAATTTGATGATTCAAAAATTTAGTACTATACGTGACACTAAACCATGAATCACGATAAATATTATTTTCATGTTTGTTTGTTGAAAAAAAAAATGTTACCGCTCATCTCAAGTTAAATTAAAAATAGACTGTAAAATTACACACGCCCAACGACTAACGGACAAAAAGCAAATTAAATAAAAACGACTGGTGTATCAATATTTATGTACACAACGTCTGCACACATACACGAGATTAGATAAGTTATCGAGTGTATAACGTATAATCACTTAAACGTCAAGCTTTGAAGCTTCCAAAACCACATACTGCATCGGCTAATCTGGCGCCATAAGATTCGAAAACTCGATTTGAATACGTTCCACTTCCACAAAGTGTAATTCGATTTACCACGTGCACTTTGTGGTACACGGAGACTACAGCAACCGTATAGCGCGGAGGGTGAGAGATGTATTGAGCGACTAAATTAACACTCGCTCGCTCTCTCCGCAGGCGTACGTCTAGAGCCGCGTGCACACGTATGTATATCACGCGTTTGTTTGTATACATGCGTTCATTTTCGATTGAGAGATGAATGTGGGCGGGTATGTTGTACACACATATGAACGCACTGACCCCGGCATAACGCCGCTTTCCATGTGATTGGCCAGAGTGACGTCGTCGCTCCAGACGTCGAACTGCCATTTCCGCAGACCGAGAACGCCGCAGAGGACGTTTCCCGTGTGAATGCCGATTCTCATGTCCACGTTGAATCCAGCCGCCTCCCTAACGAACCTGGACACAAGTATATGCATTTTATGCCTCTAACGAATGTTTTCGACGTTATTGTGGATCAAATGTTTTTTATAGCAAACAAAATCAACTATGACAATAATAATCATTTCAATAAAATCCATTCTGCTATGTTAATAATGTAATCACAGCCAAGTTTCCTAATGGTATATAGTGTTTTGGGAAATGGGTGCCAACTTCATTAGGAAATTCCTTTATCAATGTCGATGTAAGTTATCGACCGCAACATCGCTTTTGGTGACGTTAAGGTTAATTAGAACTCCATGACAGTAATATGTATGTTCATGTACGCTTTCATGAATACGCGTGTGTAAGTAGCTATATAACATATGACAGGTAATATACATATCACCTCATCATACTATATATGGGTCTTTGTAAAAAAACTTGGGCTTCTCATGTCCTTGCTCTTTATGAACAGTTAAATTGTTAAAATAATATTTATACATGAAAATTTTATTGAACGTAAAGTAAATCTCGAATCAGGTATGATTTGCAAGCTTGAGCAAAGAATGTAATGTTAAAATGTCATTACCGTAACCTGTCTCCGATAAGAATTCCACATTTTCTACCACATTTACTCAAAGTAAAAAAAGTGAAACATTAAACTACTGATGGAATAAATAAATACAAAGTTTTAGAGAAAAAAAGATAAAATAAGCCGAAAATAGAGAAAAAGGAAAAAAGTAATGTAATATACTTGAGGAAAATTCTAAAAAACATCAAAATTATCTCTTAATTCTAAAAATGTGTGTTAGTACCGCAACCACCAAAAATCTAAAATGTGTACGTATTCAGAGGTGCTTACGTATGTAGGAGGTGCCACTACTTTTTTCTCTTATTTTTTACCTTACAAATCATAACAGAGCGAGAAAAAGTGATAATTACACTAATTTCGTCTGGGGTCAAAATGGCTCTTTAATCGCCCAAGTTTTTTTACAATGACCCATATACTAAACATCATGGGGAGGAAACATGGTGGAAATAAAAGTAGGTCGTTTTCAACTGTCAGGACGTATAATGAGTATAGTTTCATATACAGCAACACAATACCGTATGGCTTCGATCATCTGCAGGCCCATGTTGACGCAGTTGTAGGCGTGATTGGGTCGCGAGACTGGCAGCCCCGAGACGCAGTAGTAACAGTCACCGAGGATCTTTATTCTCATGCATTGATTGTCCTGGAAATTGAAAAGAAAAAGCATCCACCATTTAATTGGCACAAAGCTTTCAGAAACTTTTGTTTACAACTATTTTCGTTTAACTTTTATTGATCATCCTCATTTTTTTAAACTCTATTTCTTTGTAGGCATCATCATACATTTAGCCTTCATCCCATGTTTCATTATATCCTTTAAAATTCGCAGTTTATTCAGTTTTTATTTATGACCATATTCAAAAAATGTCTATGAGCCTCGTTCCTTTCTTTAATTTTTGACCAAACAGTTACACATAGATCAATAGTTTATGATGTATTTTTCAACATGTTTTTCATTTTTTTGATAAGACTGTCCAAAAAGTTTTTTGTTCACCATTCAGTTAATCGGAAAGGGTGGTTTTTAATCTACAAGATTATTTTAAAACATAAGTAATGTCGATTATTTTTTAGAAAAAGTCTAATATGCTTACACTACTCGTTGTCAATGTAGAGGAAAAACAGTTCAGTTATCAGAAAAATGAACAGCCAAAACGAAAAGCTGAGACTTAAATAACCACTCATCGAAGTATTGACCACGACAAATGCTGTTAAACATCACTAATCAACAAATCAGTAACTCTACCGCTGAGACACTGTGATGTTGAATAAATTCGCTATACGTATACATGAAGACAACTAATGCTGCAGTGGCGTCTATTTTCAGTATGAGCGTGATATTTCTCAATACACACTACATAAAACTGAAGAAAAATACTCTTCATAATTTATAGGAGTGACATAACTTTATGCTATTACTGTTACGATACAAATATTTTACTTTAAAGTAATTCTCATGTATGCATAACTCATATGATAGAAACCAAAAAAAATGGAGCTGAGTAACCTTACGTTGTTGTAAGTGTGACTTTCAATTGTATCTTATCTTTGTACTTACCTGTCTCTATGTAACAGTGAGACTTATGCATTATGACTTTCAAAAGGACACATGTTAACGCACATTGTTATAAAAATGGATAATGATTAGCCTACCACAAGGTAGCTTTAATTCTATCAGATATCTTGGGACCCAACTTAATTTTTTATTTAGAAATTTTTTATACTTTTTAACTTTTATATTAATCTTACAAGAAAAAAAAGTAAATTTTGAGGTGGTTATATTGTAACTTTTGATGCAAAAAATAAAATTGCTTTCTAATGCACTCTTTGATATCTAAAATCTGCTAATAAATCTAATAGACGACCTTAATTCCAAATATCTAATCGTTGACATACATAACTGTCATAAAAATTATTTATATGAGTTTACCACTACTAAAATCAATGAAAAGTATAAAAGAAGCACGCATAATCAGTTTCAATACACCAGATGATGTTTGGCAAAAAATTAAAGAACTGTACAATTTTTTTAAAAACAATCCTTATAGTTGCTCAAAATTACGTCAGATAGATGGTTATATAGATGGCATAGACAATGTTTTTTGATTATTAATGCGATTTTTTTTGCATATTAATGCATATTTATGTATTGTTTTGTGCATGGGTTAACATTTTTTTCTTGTATATTTGCATGCATATTACGCCGGTTTGATTGTGGGTATAATACGGACCTTAATCATAATAAGAAGAGCGAAATAGTGAATACTTTCAGTGATAGAGATCAACGTTTAGGCAAACAGAGTGACTGACATAACTTTTTTTGTTCTAAGGAGACTGAATATGGAAATATCAGGGATCAGATACACTTTGCACACTCATGAATAATATTTTCTAGTGATACATACCCAGAAACTTTTTATTTCATACAAAGTGTTTACAAATCATAAAATTTTTTTCATTTCGCAGTACATTAATTTAATACATTTACTGTGCTGTCGCTAAAAAAATATAATAAAATTGCTTTGTGCGCTTTGATTATTTTGTTATTCGATTTGATTTACGTTTACGAGTATTTTTCTATTTCATTATTCAATTTTAATATAAAACCGAACCAAATATCTTTCCTGCATTCTCTACCATGTCAAGAGTGAGAAAAATTAATTTTTTTGCTATCCGTTATTCGGATCCTGTCTTCCAACCAATTATCGTATCAACAATAATTATTTTTGGATACCACACTAAACACTTCAAGATCTTAGATTCGTTAAGTTATATACGAACTTTTAAAATAATAATTGAATTTGACAGTACAAACAAATCAAATAATATTCAAATTCAGATAATTGTAACAACGCAGACTCATTTTTTATTTAAATTTTTACTTCAAATGAACGAAATTGATACTTAAAATAATTTTTTTCCAATTAAACCATTTGATCTATTTAAATCCGAAAACATCAACTATTTAGTTATCTTACATAATAGAAATTCCGATTATTTCAAATATAGGCTTTTTTAACTTTTTTTTAGAACTCATTTTCAAATTTACAAAAAGCTTCAGTCCAGTCACGTGACGTTCAATCTTTAAAGCTAGGATTTGTGAAAATAAAGAATTACTGTAATAATGATTCGTAAACCTTTTTTTACATCTTAAAGTTCTTACATCCGATAAATGCCATTAGAATCATAACCAGGTGATTCCAGCTTGAACCAACCACACAACAAATAAAAGGCTTCATTCAAAATTGTTCTCATTTTTAAAATATAACTAGGTAGTTGAGCTAGACATGCTTCCCGTGATCTTATTATTACTGTGACGATATTTTATTATTGCTATTAACATACCACTCTATACCCAAAGAGATAAAATTTTGCTTACACTTTTTCACTCGTTATATCTTTATCAGCAAGTAAAATTTGGAAAATCATTGAGAACTTTGAATTTGAACGCCACGTTATTAAAAAATAAATAAATAATTGTGTAATAAAAAAAAATTTTTTATAAGAAATGATCATTTTATTAAAGTTATTTCTACAATTTCATGCAATCGTTTGGTGAAAAAACTAGCCAAACCAATTCCGTGATGCATTAAATAATACAACGGCTAACAAAAAGAGCTTCGATCACATGATGATAAATCTTCAACATATGAAAATTCATCAGGTTAGTGCCCCTTTAAAAATACAGTATTTCTTTTATTTTCAGTCTATTAAAAAACTCAAAGTTTTCGAATTTGGATGATAATGGTTTTATGGGATTTTCAAAGAAATTACTATTAAATTTAAATTAGGTTCTAAATTATCTACAATCAGTTTTTATTTTGAATCAGTACAATTGAAGACTTGGCTGTCGTTAATAAGTAAATGCATCGTAAAATAGACGATTTGTACACTTAGATGGCACGCAACTTGAAATCACAAGTTAAGTATAAAATTTTCAACTTGGCTTCCAACTGATAGGGAAGAATGGTAGGCTTCGGGTATCTCGAAGCTGTTGAGTAAAGCATTCCAGTCCTTGTCCAGAGCTTCTAACTTTCTCCTGACAGCAGAAACATTTCCTGTGATGGCAGATATGTCTGGGTCGTACTTTTTCCACCGGCGATGGAAGAGCTTTTACCGGTGGGTGACCAACCGATTTTCCGCTGGTAGAGACCTCAGTAGGTAAGGTTGTCCCCTTGGTAGCTAGAGAGTCATTGCCAACTACCCTTGGCTTGCCACTTGCCGTTGATGGGCGTGATGGTGGCACGTACTCCGGTGCTGTGCACCAGTCAAAGGTTTTTCCCCAAGGTGGTATGTGCTCGTAGATCAGCTTTCTAAGGTACTCTTTTTCCTCGGCTTTGCGCTGCCTGTTTATCGCGTGTCTCCATAGTTTTTTGTAGTATTTTGTTAACTTCTTCCTGGACGACTCCGTAGCTGCCCGGGATATCCGAATGCTCGCGACCAAGCTTATCTCCGCAAGGTCCACTGGTAAAAGGCAAAAATGTGGATAGATTAAAATATAATGAACCTCGAAGAGACAGAAGGGGTGAGAAAAAGAGGTAGTGTGTATTGCTCGTTTATGATTTTAAAATGTAAGGCCGCTGGGCCAAGAGGTTCTATTGGTGCCCTTTGGTGGTGATCTCCTGAAATGGTTTAATTAGGGTGACGGATTCGTCCCTGACTACCATAATAATGGGATCTGGGCCACCCGTGAGATATATTTGTGGCGGTTCATTTGCGGGTACTACTGGACTTTTTACTGCTTTCACCGGTTGGGTAGGTAGGGCGGGAGGCGTTGCGGGATTTAGAAGCTTCCTGATGGCTATCACCTTTTCGCGTTTCTGGAACTTGACGGACGATGCCCTGCAACTAAGGAAAAAAATTAAATAAAAGACAATGAAAGCGGAATTTATGTTCAATCGACCCTTGACAGAAAGAGGCCATATTGAGGGTACCATTAGACACTCCGTCACGTTTTGCCAGGGAGTTATGGGCACGGAGCTGAGTACCAAGATGAGAGTGAGTGAAGAAGCTCTTTTATTGCCCGTGCATGTATATGCAATATTCCTTCGGAGCCTCCAAAAATGTATACTTTGTTACGCCAGCGGAACGTGTTGGTTTGGCCTAAGCTTGTATTCAACAGCCTGGGATCTTTACAAGGTTATGAAATAGGGCTGTAATCGCGTGGGATTTGCAGTGAAATATCCGTTTGCAGCTTTACGTGGGTGAGCCAAGGAGTTAAGGTGGACTCGACGCGTACCTAGAGGCTGCCACTGCCTTTCAGCGTTTGCTACCTAGTAGTTTATGAGTCACCCTACATTGTCGCGTCTTGAGGTATCCACTGCCTTTCCAGCAATGGTGTGATCTCTAGTTTTCAGAAAGAAAATTGAAAAAATAACAACTAAATACACTTGACCTACTTTCACCTAATACATCAAATACTTTGAACCGTCGGATGACGTTGGAACGCAACTACTGTTGACACGAGGAGGCCGGGAGTAATAGAGGAGGACTCTATGCTACCAAGCCTATAACGCTTGCGGGAAAAATCTTCTCTTTTCCGAGTCCTCCAAGCCCTTTGTATCGTGAGTTGCGCACTTCGGTCACACACACCAGTTTAAGAAAAGTTTGTCCAGGGGATTTGAGGAAAGCCGATACGTCCAGTAA